TTCGCCTTTAAACAGGGGCCATACACAACGACGCAAATACAACCCAGCTGTAAAGGTTTTTGTAATCGAGCGCTCTGGATTTAAGCGAGAGTAAGGTTTTCAAATACGAGGAAAGCTTTACTGCAGTCCCCCCCCCACCCCGGTCAACAAATGCCAGCACTAACATAGCACTAAGCTAGCACGTAGCACAGAGGTGTTTCCCCCTCCTACCCCCCACCCCGTCAACAAAAAACCAAAAGAGACGAACGTCCTGCTAAGCCAAGTGACGGAGCAGAAACACTATACGGTGTGGTCCGGTCAGTCCGATATAACATTTGTGGGTTCACGTTGTGGTTTGGGCCACGTTAAAGTTGAAGGAAGAGCAAGACCCTTTTCAGGTGGATAATGATAGGTGGCTGCCGTAGACAGTCAGTACATAGTACACGTATCCTTACTGATTGGCTCTGGAGACGTTGTAGTTCCTGATGTTAGACGTTATCATTAATTATTAGGGAATGACGGCTACAGTATACTGTCATCTCTGAATGTGTCTCTGCCACCTAAGATGCTGGAAACCCTGTAAACTGGCAGAGGCACTGGTAATACATGATGGCTAATTTGAGCGTGATCTTCCAATCATTGACGCAGAGGGGAGTTAGGCTGTTCGGCTGCGGGGCGAGAGCCTCTGACTGTGTTTAAAGAGTCGAGGTGGAATTTCCCAAACTCGTAGCTCATCTTGTGATTTCTCCCCGGCGGCTGCTGGTGAGATTGATTCAGACTGTTTCCAGATTGTAACCGAGTCTGGTGATTGAGTGGCGTTCAAAGCGAGACCTCTGACAATAATACCCTTTCTTGAGTCTGACTCTTCCATAACCTGCTGGGATGAGCACGGAATATGTGCCAGAACATTTCAGGCTGAACTGACAGCTGCATCTTATCAGCCCACACCAACAAACAGCGTAAAATTGTATCCACCCTGCCGTTAAAAGTCTGCAGAGATCCTGAGATATCCAGCTTTGGAGACTCTCCATCTCCTCAGGGCTGTTTGCCTCTCAAACCTAGCTTTTTTTTTTATGGCGCCACAAAGATGATGGGTGAGAGGAGACTAACTCAAACAACCTGAGCCAATTCTGGAGTTCATTAGAAAGAGTGGAAGAGGATCTGTTCGCCTTCAAGCAGCACACCCACCGTCCCCTGATGAGACAGCATCCTGAAGCAGTCCTCTACCTGATCCCTCTCCTCACAGAATCCCCACACAGAAGACAGACATGGTTTTTTACAAGTCCAGGCACGGTGCAGTGTGCAGAGATGGCTCAGCTGATAATAACAACACCCGTCTGGACAGTGTCAGAACGAGCAAGCACAGAAAAATCCTAGTGTAGCACAACCATTGTTATTTTAGCACCTCTTCCATAGCTAATGCTGCTCTGGGTTTAAGGACGAGCTCAACGACTCCCTATGAACAAGAATAAACTTCTTGCAAAGCCGAGCTCAGATGGACCGCTAGCTGCCTCAACCAGCTTGAGGGTGAAAGGTCAGGGCGAAACATTTGGGGAGGTTCTGGTTCCCAGCAACTCTGGAAATCTGTCAAAACTGGGAAAACGACTTTCACATTTTCTAAACAGGGAAACCTCGGAGCGTTTGAACACCAATCTGATTAAAAGATGACCTTTCTCAGATTTTGACGTGTACCTGTACATGTATTCAAGGTAGCACTGTTGTAGTTCATGTTCTACTTCCACAGTGCACGTAGTACATCTGTACTGACTGGCTGTGGTGACTTTATAGTTTCTGATGTTATACAGTACAATTAGTTATTGGGAACGAGTCGTAATCATCAGTCGGATGTATGTTGGCGCAGCAAGGAGAGCGTTATCCACTTCAGGGTGTGCAAAGGAATGATACCCTGAAGAATAAACACTGAAACAGCGGACTCTGACAGTTTTAATGCACAAACAAAACAAAACACATGTTCCCAGTTCCACTACTTTGGACAAAGAGTTGTGGAATGGACAAAAAGTCTCAGTAAGAAGCCTCTAGTGCAGTAAATGCAGCACGTTGTTGTCTGAGACGTCACGTTTTCTAACTTCCACTCTGACGCAGAAGCTTTGTGTGCACTTCTCGTGCACTTCTCAGCCTGTTACACTAGATGGCTATGTTGGCCCACTCTCCACTGGGAGGCGGCACTCAAACTGGGCAGGTATTCTGACAACGGGCTGCAAATTCATGGTTTATGTAATAATCAATGCATTTAGCAAGTAAGGGGACGGATCGCAAATTCGATTTGAACGAACGCCAAAGCTGATATTTCATTTTGAGGGAGTAATGAAGCAGCTGCTATTTGCAAATGGGTTCGTTTGAGGTGACTCGACTATTTCAATTATTTCTCCATGAGTCTACGAGGGCGTAAAGCTGTAAGACAAAACGCTTCCAAAGTTTGGACTGGTTTGAAGGTCACGACCCAGCAGCGTGGACAGACTGGAGCTGTGGTGATTTCAGTCTGACGTTAGGTGCAGCCAGTCACAACAATACATAAATAAAACTTCTGCTGCTTTGACAAGAGTTCAAAGAAACGGACTGGAGTTATAGAAGAAGGATCAAAAGTCAGAAACTCTGTTAATCTAAGATGGATGATAAACAGACAGCTCTATTAAAGGCAGCTGGTGAGCAGGAGCAGAGTCTCATCATGACCGTGTAAGCCATCATGTCTGATCATCTGCAACAGAGGTCCCTGCACGCACACGCACATGCACGCTTCCTGCTTTAAATCAGCCCATGCGTCGCTGAGCCAGCGCCGTCCGTATATTATTCTGTTAGGTTCTGCAGCCGCAGCAGAGGAGTCAGGGACTGGATACCGCCTGTCGCTCTGCCAGAAACCCGCGGTCTCGTCAACCATCTTGGTTTTCCAAAAATACAGGTTGCCAGGGAGACGAGGAGCTGCAGGGAGAGCAGGGAGGGCTGGATGACACGGTTGGTTTCCAGTTGTGTGTGCTGAGCGCTGCCGGCAGAGGAGCGGCAGCTCCAGAACCTTTGGAACCGCTCTTCCACCACGGCCGACGTAAATCAGTCGGCGCGTTCGCCAAATACGTGTCCGCTGCGTTCACAGACACGAGGCGCGGTGAAGTCGAAGGAGCACTTTTAAACGTGATGCGGTCCGATAAATCAACACAGTTCAACGCATCGTCAAAGAAAACTCAGAGTTGTTCCCTTCACATGAATTAAAACAACAAAAGTGAAAATGATCAAATTTTGAAGATCAGTTTTGGTAAAACTTCATATGACCAGCGTAAAAAACAACTAGAACGTTCCCGGAGAAACTTTGACGGGGACTGCCCCACGGCTGCCAGATGACATCGTTGATGTGACACCGTGTGTTTGGTTCACGCTCATCTGCAGCCGTAACTCATTTCAGCTCAGTACGGCAAAATAAAACAATGAGTCATCGTGATTTTTTTATTTTAGCTTAGATCTTGGATTTTTGACTTGGTGTTACCTCGAGAGGTAGCAACAGAAGCAAAGCAGGTTCTGCACATGTCGTTGCGCAGCGTCTTCTTTTTTACAGCCAAAATAATCCAAACAACGGACGTGCTGCTCCTCGTTGGTACCAAACGTTCAGATGTGCCATTCTGCCGAGCCTGACGCCCATTGTGCAACCGGTTAAAGCGCAACGTTGACGTCTCCCGCTCCCTGCTCCGCTCACGCGCAAGTCACGTGACCAGATCACGTGACCAGATCACGTGACCAGTCAAATTGCAGCCTTTTCAATTAGAAAATCTCATTTTATCATATCGCGATATTATCACAAATGCAACTAATTGTTCAGCCCTAACCATCACCACACAGAATATTAGCCCAGTAGCTCTAATATTAGCTCAGTAGCTCTAATATTAGCTCAGTAGCTCTAATATTAGCTGATTTATAGTATTTTTTTCCTTTTTAGCTCAGGTGGCCATATTGGATTTTTGATTTGCATTAGGAATGTATAAAAACTCGCTCTCAGCTACAACCAGAGCAGATTTCAGCTCAACATCTCAAAGAACGATTGAGTGATAGCAGCTAGAAGCTGTCGAGGCGTTTTGAATGAGGAAAACGGCGTCTTTGTTTGAGAATTACGTCGTCATGGTAACTCAAAACGCCAATAAAAGTAACAGCTCATATCACGGTGCTGAGCCGGTGTCATTTTGATATAACATTTGTGGGGGGACACATCGCTGTTCGAGCTGCGTTAAAGTTGACGGAAGAGTAAGATGTAAAGTTAAGAAACCTTTGTCAGGTGGATAATAATCGGTGCTGCATTACGAGGCAGTCCCCAGTAAAAACGTTCCTTACATAAAAGTGCACACTCGTCGTAGCCTGTGCGTTATTTTACAGTTGAGAGAATTCAGTCCGCTCTGAAAAAACAAACCGCCATTCGTTTCGTTTGTGGCCTGAAAGAGTTGAAGCGTTTGTTTTCACTTGCAGAGAATTTAATTTCCTGCAAGAGTCACAACCTGCACGTTTTCATCACGAGCAAGAGTTCGTTCAGAGTTCGTATGTTTTCAAAAACAATAATCTTGTATCAGTTTGGATCGGTTTCATCGAGACAGAAGAATGTAAGAAAAATAAATCTCTAAATCAAAGCGATGAAGATGAAGATGAAAAGCCACAATTGACTCCCTTTGAATGAACCGGAACCTCCTCGTTTTTTAAATTAAACTTAATTAGTCACTCTTGTCTTTACGATTTGGGTCAAAGGTCAGAACAAGTGGGAAGACAAACTGTCTGCTGCCAATCAAACGTCACCAGTACGGTTCATTTCCTCCACAACACGGACAAGCAGCAAATAAAAACCTGCAACAAACGGAAGCAACTTCCTCTTCACGACTCGTTTCAGGGTTTTGAAAAAAAACATTTCTTAAAACGTGCTGCACATTTTCAGGGTATACAAATGTTTTCCATAGAATGTGATTTCTGCCTCATTTAGCGCACGGAGGGAAGCTTTAAGTAAAAGCGAACGCGCCTCGGAAGAGACGAGGCTTTACCTCCAGGCCGGTGTTGCGTGTCAGCTTCGGCGCCTCGTCGTTCACCGGTATGATCGTGATGGAGATGGCGACAGGATGACTGCGGCGCTCGATCTCATAAGCCGAGGCAGAGAGTGTGAAGCTGTCCTCCGTGGTCTCGGTGCTGTCGTGCATGTAGATGACGCGCCCGAGCTTCACCTGCAGGAGACAAGAAAGGGCTTCGGCTGTCACTTGGTTCTGAATCAGACCTGGGTGTTTTGGACACGGCGTCGTTTCATTTCTGTCGAGTGACACGAGGTTCTTCACGACAGCAAAGAGAAAAATGCGTTCGGAGCATCTGGAAATGTAAAAACACCCCGTTAGTACTCGGACTCTTCATTTAGTACTGGTGTGAAACATCGTTGGCCTTAACGGAGGCTTAAAAAGATGTTTCTGACCTGTGAAGGTGGGGCGCTGCGGAGGGTTACGATTATGAACAATTAATATCTTATCTGTCACAGATGGCTTTTGAATGGCTTCAGTCTGAAGAAAATCTCATTTTGACCAAAGTGACAGTCGATGCAGATGAAAGGGTGAAGGTCTGAAACAAGTCCAGCCTAAGAA